GATTTATTTCCCAGCTGTTTACCTTCACAGACATAACCGACTGTTTTTGTCATGTGTGTTTTTAACGTAAACTTGTGTGTGAATGAGAACTTAGTTTAGTACTCACATGCTGTGACAGCCGCTTTCTGTCCGTGTGCTTCGGATGTGTGCACTCAGAAAACCGTATATTAGAAGTTTAAACTCATGGTTTAAAACTCATGATTTCAGCACGATAAACATGATAATCAGAACCAAAACAGATGTTTTTTTAGCAGGTACAAGCTGTAATGGTGCAGCTTTATTCTGGAAAAGGGGGCGGGGAGCAGCAGCTCATTTGCATTTAAAGAGACAGGCCCGAAAAACAGCAAAATAGGCATTTGCAAAATGATATAATAAATGATCTGTGGAGTATTTTGAGCTAAAACTTCACAGTTACATTCTGGGGACCCCTGAGACTTATATTACATATTGTAAAAAGGGGCATAATATGTCACCTTTAATATCCTTTAAAATATTATTTATTTATGTGATGCAAAGCTGAATTTCCATCAGCCATTACTCCAGTATAAAGTGTCACATTAGCCTTAAGAAATCACTCTAATATGCTGATTTATTATTAGAATTATCAATTTTGGCAACAGTTGTGCTGCCAAATATTTTTTTTGGAAACTGCGATACTTTTTTAGGATTCTTTGATGAATAAAAAGTTAAAAAAGAAGAGCATTTATTCAAAATATAAATATTTTCTAACAAAATATATATCTTTGGTATCACTTCTTAAAAATGTAACACATCCTTGCCGTAAAAAAGTTTTAATTTCTTTCAAAAAAATAAAGAATAAAAATTTACTGACCCCAAACTTTTGAACTGTAGTGTATATTGCTAGAAAAGATTTATATTTGAAATAGGAATAAATTAGATTTTAATGTATATTAAAATAGAAAAACATTATTTAACATCATAATAATATTTCACAATATTAAATTTTTTCTGTATTTTTGATCAAATAAATGCAGCCTTGATGAGCATAAGAAACTCCTGTAAAAAACATTAAAAATCATTCTGATCCCAAACTTTTGACCGGTAGTGTAAATCTATCTCAGTTTGCTTTGGCTGAGCTTGTACATTATGAAAGATCGTTGTTTCTCTGTGTTGGATTTTAGAACACCCTGGAGACCTGCAACATATGTAGTAAGCCCATAATGGAGCGTATCCTGCGTGCAACTGGGAAGGCCTATCATCCCCAGTGCTTCATCTGTGTGGTCTGCCATCGGAGTCTGGATGGTATTCCCTTTACTGTGGACGCCTCCAACCACATCCACTGCATTGAAGACTTCCACAAGTATGACCAGGCACACAAATATGCTTCAAATATGTAAACGCATTTAGTACATAACATGATGTTATTTCAATCTCAATGACATGACTTAAACTTAATAAAATACTGAAAGCTATTTTAGGGTTCAGATATGACATTCAAAACAATTTAACATCTTATTTACAGGAAATATGACTTTTAAGTAGTCTGTTCAGCTTTTTTGTATGTATTAAGGAATTGAAAGGTTTCAGAAGGAATATGGGATTGTGAGAATATGATCACAACAGAAATGCTATTGTGTCGAGGAACAGTTGGGCTGTACCTGGATTGTACTCATTGTTACTATTGTGGTATAATTAGGCCACCATCTGCTGCACTTCCCCCTTTTTACTGTTTGTTGGTAAAACCCAATGAAGAAGTGAATCACCTGACTGATTTGCTTTTGTGTACACATAATCGCCTCATCTCTTTCTGTTCCTGTCCTGTGTTCTCAAATTGCTGGACACACAAATGTATTCATTGTGGAGCTTTCTAAAACATTTGTGTCTTTGAAATAAGTTCCGCTGGGTAGTAATATTAGCTTTATTGATGGCTGATGGTCTGCCCATCAAAAAGTTTGGGTCGGTAGGATTTGTAAAAATGTATTTATATTTTTCAAGTTTTTGTATGCTCACCAAGACCGAATTTATTTGATAAAAAATACAGTAAAACAATAATACTACAATAATATTATATTAAAATAAAGTTTAAATAAATATTATAGTAACAAAGTTTTCTATGTTAATATATTTAAAACATAATTTGTCCCGGTGATTGCAAAGCTGGATATTCAGCAGTCATGACTCCAGTCTTCAATGTTGCATGAACCTTCAGAAATTATGCTGATTTGGTGCTCAAAAACATCCATCCATCTATCTAGACAACAGCTGCATTGCTTTATATTTTTTGTGGAAACCAACATATAAAGTTCAAAAGAACAGCATTTATTTGAATGTATTTAGAAATCTTTCATAACATAATAAATGTCTTTACTGTCACTTTTGTGATCAATGTAATGTGTCTTTGCTGAATGAAAGTATTCATTTAATTAAAAAAGTTCTTACCAACCTTAAAGTTTTGAATAGTGTATATTATTATTATTTTTTTTGATCAAATTCACTTGTATCAAAGGTCATCACAAGCCAACTTTGAGCATCTCTGTCCTAGAGATACTTTTTTGTGATCTGTCTTTGACTGTTTTTCCTTCCCTTTTTCAAGGAAATTTGCCCCTCATTGCTCTGTGTGTAAAGAGCCCATAATGCCAGCACCTGGCCAGGAGGAGACAGTGCGTATTGTGGCTTTAGACCGTGACTTCCATGTGCAGTGTTATCGCTGTGAGGTGAGAGAAAGCCCTTGGGGTGGTTGGTTAAAAAATTCCTAAATGTCTTTGGAAATAGAAGTTTTGTACTGACAGTTTTGTCCTTTTTTAAAACTATTTTGTGTGTGTCCTCACTATAGGATTGTGGCTGTCTTCTCTCTGAGGGAGACAACCAGGGTTGCTACCCTCTGGATGGCCATGTTCTCTGCAAAAACTGCAACACCAGTCGCATCCAGGCCCTCACTGCTAAGGCTACGACTGACCTCTGAGTAACACACATATCTACATGCAGGTCCCTAATATTCCTGCATTCATCAAAGCCTGAGAAACACCATATCCTGTCACATCACTGCACACAAATATTTATGCTCAGACAAATGCACATGTACACATAAAGCTATCATTCCACTTAAGGGGCCACGACTTGTCTTGTCGCTCATGCACCTCCACACACTGCCTTGTATTAAAATTGCACTCATTTTTTCTGTCCAACAATTTTTATTAGCAGATGTATTCACCAGTGCCCACTACAGCGGTTTGTAAACACCTAAACGAATTAGGCCTTAACATATAGAGCAAGACTGTTAGATTCTAACTGATGTTCACAGCGCTGTTCAATTGGGAAGTGGGATGTTAAGAAACCCTCACAGAACATCATAGAATCTGCCTTTAAAAAGGGACCATGCTAGGGGACCTCGAAAAAGGGATCGCTATGCATTCCAGTATGTATCCAACCTACAGCTTTTATTTTATTTTTAATCTCTGCGTTATATTGTCACTTTCCAAATACACTTTCACATCGAGCTACTAGTAACACATGAAGTCACACAAGTATACATTCTCTGCAATGGCTTTATGAAATAATTGGAAGTTTACGCATCATTCAAGCTTGTTAAACATATTTTTAATCTCCTTATGGCGGCTGTGATATTGGAGGTTTCATGTTTGCTAAGGTACACTATATAGGAGTCAGTATAGAAAGACCTGGACCTTCACCTTGACTCATGCATCACACCTGCTTCATCGGTATGTTTTTGTGTACATACTCTACAGGTGTATGTTTGTGAATGCATAGCCTTTCGATTTACATTTCTGAATTCACCCTTTGAGATGAAAGTTACCAAAGAGCTACATTTACTTTCTCTGGGACAGTGTGTATGTATATTATTGTATGCTTATGAAATCTAATGGGAAGAGTATTTTATCCTTTAAGGACTGTGAATGATCTTCAGTAGCTCAGAAGCCTAAATACGTTGTGGTTCATTCCGTGCGGTTTCTTCCTCAGTGTACCGCTTCAATTCAAGTGAATTTAGCAAGAAATATTCTGCGCTTGGAACTTTTTTGTGGTTTGGTGTTACTTTTATTTTTTTCAAATTGCGCTCAGTTATCTCATTTATTTGTATATCATGAGTAAAATGGTGAAAAGGTCTAAGGATAAAATATATGTATTTAGATATGCACAGTGAATTGTGCAATAATGTCACGGCAGATTGAGAATCGTTTGGTATTAAATAAAAATGCTCAGAGGAAAAACTGTCAGATTAGATTTACAGTGTGACAATCAGGGCTGAAAGGATGTTGGAATTGTGTTTTATTTGATCTAATTTGATCTAAGACTTTTAGGGCTGATGAGAGACAGCCTGGTGACCAATATTTGAAATATCCTCAAATTGTGAATTTATTGTAGTATTAGTTAGAGTAGAGATTTATTGTAGTATCACGTAAGATATAGATAGACATGAAAATATTATTAAAAATAGGAAAACCATTTAGGGAGAATAATTTTTCTTTCGTAATTTTATATATGGACAATATCATTATGCAAATGTCTTCTTTGTTGTTGCATTGACACTTTACTAAGAAGGATATGCAGAAATTGTTTATATTCGATGAGAAAGTGTTCGAGCTGTTCTTAAAGCTACAATGCACACAGTTTGGGAAAATCTGAAATTATGTATATATATCTACAGAGTGCCATTATAAATTTTGAGGTTTAGAGAGTCAACACCTCAGGAAAGTTCCAGTCATATCAGTGTGCTGCAGTGATGCCCCAGGGATCTTCCCCTCTGGTTAAAGGGTAAATTCAGATGTGAAAGTTATGATTTCTATGCAAACCGGATATAAGTACACCTCTTGATTTATTATGGCAGTTTGTGGATTTTGTGTGTAAAATGAAATGCGCTGTAGCTTTAAGCCATGAGAGCTTCATTAGTGCTTCAGTGCTTCAATCTGTACCTCTCATTCTTAGTGCCTTTTCCAGCTTGTGTGAAACTGAGGTGGTGTTGTTTGAGCACAAACACAGCTGTGGCTTGTGGCTGATGTTACTTGTTGAAGGAGATGATGTTTGAATGGTCTGTTTTGTTTTTGATGTTTTTTTTTTCAGCTTCTATACACACTACCTGAGGCTATGCATGTTCGCTACTTGAACCCATCTCTATTTCCAGGTTTTATATAGAAAGACCTGTGGCTTGTGGCTGATGTTACTTGTTGAAGGAGATGATGTTTGAATGGTCTGTTTTGTTTTTGTTGGGTTTTTTTTTCATGTTCTATTCACACTACCTAGAGGCTATGCATGTTCGCTACTTGAACCCATCTCTATTTCCAGGTTTTATATAGAAAGACCAAATATTTTAAGACTTAATTAGATATGTCTGTGTATTATGTCTTTAAAACCATTAAGTGTTATTGGAAAGAGAATTATTGTTGTATTACTTGGCACCTTTAGGTTGTCCTTCCTCTCTTTTGCTTCAAAGATTCAAACTGCTTATAGATTTGCTTCATCTGTTAAGCATTTTTGCTCACTTGAGTTGTTCAAATTGATTTGTTCTGTTCAAGTATTTGATCAGAATGTAATTTAAAACACGTTGTACTAAGTTTCCCCATGTGTGATCATTAGAGTAGCAATAACCTGATGATTATATGAAATTGTTGTTGCAGCAGATGCAGAGTACCAGCATTCAAGTGCCTTGAAATACATGGTATAGGCTATTTGAGTTGTCGTATATAGGGCACTTTGATGTTTTTTTTTCCCCCCATGAAGAAATTATTACATAAAACAACCTAATCTGTGCTCTAGTGACATTCTAAGTATATACTTGGATTCTGTTCTTACACTCTGTTGTTTTTGATCACAACTTCCTCTATAATTAATAAACCTTTTGGAAAAACTCCATAGTGATTATTTGCTTTTTTCTATTTGTCAGTTATTTTTTTTCCGTCCTAATGCTGCTGTTAATTCATATTTCAGCTCCTTCCAGCTTTTGGCAGGTTTCCCAGGTAACGGAGACAGATTTTCATTGTACTCTTTGCACAACCTAAAGGAGAATTCATTTATCATGCTACTTGCTGATATCAGTGGTACATTCAGCACATGCTTAGCTACTTTAGGTGGCATCTGAAAGACAATCAGCACAGAATCACGATTCTGATGAGCTCAAAATGCTACTACTGTCTGACAGCATTTATCGTCTTTTGTTGCTTAGATATTTAATCAGCAAAATCAGTGAGATATAAAGTGGGTTATATGATGCTGGAATGAGGCTGATGGAGTTGTTAAAATAATTTAAGATACTCAAAAGAAAATACCATTTTCTCGGGCCCTCTTGAGTCCCTGCTTGATTTAATCCTTTCAATTTGTTATCCTGCGTTCCAGGAACCGGCAATAAGCCAGACAGTTTTTTTTTATTCTGTTCAGATTGCTAAATTGGAGCAGCATATCCACAATATTGGAGTGGAAAGTGATCCCAGAGGAATGCAGAAAAGTAATAATAGTTTAAAAGAAACAAATAGTAGAACAGTGCAAGATTGCATGTTTGTATTTTAATTGCAGGCAGAAATTTAAGGGTATTATTGGGGTCTTTGGAGACCACCTTACGCCACAACCTTCTTCAAATAATATTATGGCATTATCTCTTTGGGATTTGACCTAATCTATTCTATATATTATTTGCATTATATATCCATAGTCTCATTTTTCTATCTAAGCATGTGATTTTGAAAAACAAAAGATAAGGTTGTCACAAAATTGTGCAAAACAAAAATTTATACTTATGGTGATATTGAAGAGAGAGAAACAAAACTGAGCTTTATAAATCTATATATGTATGTGTGTATATCTTTGCTCTTTATATTCCGCAACACTGTGGGAAAAGCAGCAGTCCAAGACAAGCTAAGAGAGGAAGCTGAATACTGCAGAAGTGTGAAGCTTAAAATAGGACTTGTAACAAAACCACAAACTCAAAAAAAGCTCAGTTATGTGAGAAAGACAGAATCTCTTAATTCAGAAAGTCTCAATTAAATGTGACCGAAAGGCTGAAATTGAGGTCTTAGATGTTTGCGCTCATACAAAGAGTGTTCTGGTGATTTACGTTCGGTTTAAGGTGAGAGAAACTGTATCTTTGCTCTTTCAATGTGTGTGTGTGTGTGTGTGTGTGTGTGTGTGTGTGTGTGTGTGTGTTCATGTGTTCCCTTCAGGGACCCAGTGTACGACTTTTTACCGCGCGCTAATCTGCTGTTTACAAACAAACTGATGAGTGCGTGTCCCTCTGGCTAACATGATGTGGCTGCTAATCTGTGTGTTTGTGTAAGCATGTTTGTATGAGTGCATGTAAGAGAAAAAGCCAGGAGGGTCCCTCCAGGAGCCAGCTATAGCATTACTGAATGCCTGCTTCTAAAACTCAGGATGTGGGAAGCGTGTGAAAGTGCAGTAATGAGTCACGATCATGCACGATCTGTCCCTGCTAAGCTTTGCTCCTTTTAAGAAAACAGTTGTTGGGTCAGATTTCAATAACATCACAATGTAGGTCGACATTGTTGTCTTGGTTGTTTAATGCACTCTAGGTTTGCTGTCATCGTTAGCTTTCAAATGAATCACCCCCAGTGGTGCGCTGACTTTTAAGGCCTGATTTTGTGGGTTCCTGGTTTCACCAAAAGATGTAATGTAATTGCTGAGTCAACTGAGCCCTAAAGAAACATCACTGAAGAAGAAAAAAAAAACTGGAGAGGTGATTTTAGGAAGACTTTTGAGGTATTTTTAGATCTGGAATGTGTCATTCTCGCAATTTTATTAAAAATTATTTTACTATTTCAATTGAATAGGCAGTGGTGGCTAAAGTAACCGTTTCATATGTTGTGTCTCCCGAGTAGTGTAAATGATCTCAACCATAGCAACATAAAGTCAGTTTATGGGATATACAATTAAATTGCACGATTAAAAAATATATAGTCACATTTTGATCAATAAATTACAATTACGCAATGCGAGAAAGTCACACAATGAGTCACAATTACGAGAAAGAAAGTCAGAGTTCAGAAATATAAATTTACTTTGTGCGATAAAAAGTGACATTGTGAGTCACTATTATATTAAATCGCAATTGCGAAAACAAAGTTGAGATGTAAAGTTACATTATGCAATAAAAAAGTCACATTGTCAAACTCTGATATAGTCGCAATTGCGATATAAAGACACCTTGATATAGTCAATTTCAAGAAACAATGTTTCAGTTGTGAGATAAATAGATTCTTTGTGAGAAAGTCAAACAATGAGATATAGTCATATTTACATAAATCAGTTCTAATAAAAAGTCACATTGTGAGTAATAGTCACACTTTAAGACATAAAATCGCAATTTTGAAAAACGAAGTTGAGATATAAAGTTACAATATGCAACTGTCAAATATAGTCAAGAAACGAACAAACTTTGAGATATAGTCAAGAAACAAAGATTCAATTGTGAGCAATGTGAGAAAGTCACATTGTGAGATACAAAGTCGCAATCACAAGAAACAACTGTCACAAGTCACAACTGAAAGATATAAAAACATTGGAGGATAAAGTCACATTATGAGATATAAAGTAGCAACTATGAGAAACATAATTGCTGCTACGAGATATTAAGTCAGGTTGGGAGATATAAAGCCACAAGCACCTCTGAGGGGGAAACAGGCTTCCATACTATTGCCCTCCAGTCTGTTCTGGATAAGGGCTGAGAGAAATGCAGACTGCAGGGTATAGAAGGAAAAGGAAGAGCGAAGTAAAGGGCACAAACTGTTTTCTGTGTAAATAACGTGCAGAGACACTCAGATAACGTCAAAACATGGAGGCCAATGTTGGGGCAGCCTGTCACCGCAATTCACCATCACACATCGCCCAGGGGGGTTAGTCATGCCGTGATGCTGTGGTGCATTCTTTGTGTGTGTGCTTGGCTGTTCAGATTAAGTATTTTCTTGCCAAAGTTCCTTAACGCATGGCACCATCACTTTCACTGCATAAATAGTAAGCTCTGGCCGAGGACTTCAAGCTATGCACAACACTGACAGATTCCTGGTGCACCGTTAAGAAAAGTGATGTCTCCTGATAATATTAGAAAGCATGTTTTCAGGCCAGCAAAGAGAAATGCCAATAGGTTTTCCAGCTGGTGGAGGTTAGCTGAGGTAAGCTTGAGCATGTTCACAGTCTGCATTTGAATTCCTCAAGTTACGACGTGCAATATTTCATATGCATGTCTCGTCTCCAGCTGCACATCTGTTTAGCTCTGATAGCTACTGCATATCAGTGCATATATATACATTCATATATATACATTTGGTTGCATTTTGTTTTGTGATTCACTGAAACATAGCGAGATGGAGCTAGACAACAGTGTCACTCTAGGCATGTATGTTCCCTCTACCAGGGTTCACAAGTAACTAGAGAGAAGCTTAATGTTTCAAATAATATACTTTTAAGGTTTGTTTGAGTGAATACACTTGCTAAATGGAGAAGGACCGTGTGTACTGGCGCACACAAAAACTAGCCTGGAGCATACAGTAAATGGAATGGATCGACAAACAAACTGCCAATAATCAAAACTGTCGGAACTCTGTTTCATATAATTTTGTACCCATTTAAACCCTGTTTATACATGTTTAAACACCAGATGAACCATATTTGTCCCCCATCTGTGAGCTTCATAACATGTTGTTGTTTATAGTAACACATTGTTCTTGGACATTTTATTTTCAGTGAAGAGTTACAGAGCAAATATCTAGAGCAAACATGCTAGATTGGTCACTTTTCTCCCTTTAATATTCTACTGTATTTAGGGCTTTATAGTGCTGTATGTTGTAAGTGTTCTTCATTTGCAAGAAAGCCAAATGGGCAACAAACATTAAACATTTATCCTCACAATGAGCTCAGACTTACAGTTAAAACTACAAAGTAGTGGTGAGCTAATAAAAAGCTTAAGTAAGCAATAAGCTGTAATGTGAATACAGTCATTATAACAATACACTCTGTCATTTATTTTTTTAACACAATATATGATACTTCCTCATACACATACACCTGCTTATCTCTCAGCATTACACATTAACATTAACTTCCTGTCTTTTAATCAGCATCAAGGATCAG